CCAGAAAATATACTGCTTGCTCGACCGCAAGGGAGAAGGGATAATCACGCTGGCACCAGGATTGCTGCGTCATCGGTATACTGTAGAGTTCCATGGTTTATCTTCCTAGAATCTTGATATTTCTCTTTGTACGATATGATCTCGTAAAGTAATGGATGAAATTATATTTCGTAAATAATTATTTGTTTTCATTTTCGATCTATTACAGGCAAATAACACACACACACACACTCTCTCTCTCTCACACACACACATAAACACACAGAGATTTTCGTAGAGAAACCAAATATTCCTATATTTTTAGTTCAATTATAATTGAATAGTTATATAATGACACGATCTGTACACAGAACAAACGGTTGGGAAGCTCGGGCCAAGTGCAGGTGTTGCGGTTCAAGTGCCCGAGTGCGGGCGTTAGTCTGGGCGCAGCTCTGGGAGGGGGTCTCCTTAAGCCGTCCCTCAAATTACGCTAAGCGCTCGGATAGAAATGTATAAAACTTACCGATTGGCGATTGTTACTGCTCGTAGAGTTTGGAGGCGCCCGCCAAACCTACTACTACCTGAATTTACCCCCATTACTAATACCTGAATCATACTCAACTTTCTTCCCGCGAACCACGATCCCTCCAGCACTGAACACGTTCGCACATGAGTGGCCCCTTTCTTGCGACACTTCCACTCGAAATCATCACACATCTCCTTTCGCTTGGCCCACTTCATCGGACACTTACACCCAGGACACCTGTGTCCTTCAGCAATGAAACCACGTGGTGAAATTGCCCTGTAACTTTTGACGTCACGTTCGTGACCAATTAAAATTATTTCAGAAGTGTACTCACAACTTCTCCCCACCGAAAGATTCCCCTCAACACCCCTCGACCCTCCATCGTCGATTTCCCCTTCGACGGAGTGGCGCGAAGTGCCGGTTTAAACGACTTCCTTGGGTTGTGCCGTATACATTTTAGCAGATTTTTTTATTTCTTATAAAAATATTGGTGCTAAATATGTCCCGATTCCAGAGTCTGTTTGTTGCGAAATCAATGTCTAAAACACAATCTACAATAGCCTACTTCGCACGAAAAGACCAACTTAATTGTTTGCCCATCTAAGCAAATTCTTCAAATGACTTCAATAACATTCACATTGTTTACAGAAGGAACACACCTATCGGTGAGACTGGGAACACTAGGTTGTTTTTGTGAATCTATCACGTACTAGAAATGCTCATTGGAAGTAATCATTCAGAGCAGATAATGGGCAAAATCCTTAAGTAGTGAGATCACGAACTACGTGGATTCAATCACGAAATGTCTTCCAGCAAAACTGTCCCGGCCAAAGAACGTAGGTTGAGATTGTTAGAACGCAGCTTTCACGAAACAATCTCGAAGCACTGCTTAACCGATGGAGTCGCAAGTCATCCTCGCTACAAGAATAGAAATCAATCCAGATAGCATATAAAAAGTATTCATCATCTTCGGGCTGCAACACACACTGGTGGTCTCAAACGTTTTGAAAATGTATTATTTTAGGATTTCACTCCCCAGCAAAGGAACCAATGGTGGTAAGTCTCAGTAAATGTTAACATAAATTTAAAATAAATATATTAAAACATAACATTGTACATTCAGATCTTATTAAAGAACATTTAAAGAAAGAAACACAGCGCTTCTCGTAAGTAAAGTATGTGTATCACAATTATAAATGTCTTATATGTCTATATTAAGAAACAGTGCTTCTCGTAGTTAATTATTTATATCACAATTATCAATGTCCAATATGTCTACATTTTGCACTAAGATCAAAAATCATTAACTAGTTTCTCCAATGTCATATTTTGCATATGATAAGAATATATCATACAACATAGTAACAAAATTTATGTAAAGGACTCTATACTTTGGCAATAAACAATAAAAATTCAGATATTGGGCTGGAGGCCACACCATCCAATCCATCTGCAACAGCAAAAAAGAAAAAAAATGCATTACGATCAATTCTTCAAAAGGCTTGATGTTCTAAGAATTTCATGGCGTTATGAAGCTAACAATATAATAGAAGATTATTACTTGTATGCTACATATTTACTAGTATGCTACAAAACTAAAAACTTAAATGCGCGCAGCATCTTAACAGTAATATCACGTTCCGACGTACGTGCGTACTAATATTTCCGGAAAAAAGTCTATTGTATGTATTTTAACACATGGGTTAAACTTTTCGGATTACCTTGTTGAACGTTCAAAATACACAAGGGGCCAAAAATCAGGAAGGGTCATATTAACAGCGTAGTAGGCCCATTTAAAGAATCCAAAATTGTTTTCAGTTTTCTTCAGAGATTTATATTAAAACTATATGAAGGTTAAATCCGAAATAGTGGTAGTTAGGAACCCTTCTGGCATTAAACCCAGACTACTAGTTTGTGCATTCAATGTTTACACGTTCGAATGATTTAGAATATCCAGGGGCGTCAAAGGGTTTGGCCGTTAATCCCGTAGTTGTAGTGCATGCAGGCGGACGGTGTTCCTCCCGCGCTGGGGCGAGGGGTCCGGCGCCGACCTACACGCCCCTTTGCGGGGAACAACCCCCTCCAGGTATGTGCTCCAGCCGGGACAGGCCCTAAGCTCCCGCCCGGTCTCATGGCGCGAGTGGTAGAGTAGCAAGTATAACTGGGTGAGAGTAAGGGGTGAGTAAAGGATGAAGAGAAAGGAAAGATCGCGCGCGGTTCGTTTGTTAGGGTACTGCTCCGCCATTCGCCTGGTGTTGATCAAAAGAAGCGCGGAAAACTATCAATCAGGGAGATCGAATGCTCCTCCAGACAGCGACTGAATTCGACGTAGCTATTGTCGAAAATGCTGCCACCATCGACAGTAGAGCTCTAGGACCCCCTTGTCAGAGGCACTGGGCCACCTTTGCCGCTTTACATTTGCAACTCTGTTTCTATTGGTCTTGCATGCCTCGAACAAGGATCAGGGAAGAAGCAGTCGACGAAACCTTCAATTATTACAATTTGATATCGAAGTTGGATCTATGTGCCCTGCGGAAATGAAAAGGTTGCCGGCCCCCGCAATAATGTTCATAATGTAAATATTAACATGAGAGACGTACATCCTGTGATCGCAAGTATTCGGATATGTCTAAAATGGTGTTATGGTATGGTCGTGTTTTTCATGGGGGGCTTACACCCCTTGTTTTGTGTGCCACTATCACGTGAGTGGGTGTTTTGAACACTTTGGTTCCCACTGTTGGAGAGCAATTCGGGGATGGCGATTGCATCTTTCAACACCTGTTCATACTGCACGGCCTGTGGCGGAGTGGTTACACGACTTTCTCGTACTAGGTACTTTTCAAATTTAATTGGCCTTGGTTCCGGGCCTATTCGATCTTGCTAGCAACCACCTACCGTCGCCCAAAGTACATTTTTGTGAAATTTTCTCAATTTTTTGGTTTCCTAATTGTAGAATCCAAATATTACTTCAATAATATTAAAGAAGAGTAAAACCTCGTACTATATGGAAATTTTCGTTGAAAACTTTGGAGTCGTTTCTAAGAAAATATTGTTTAAGCGTTACTGTAAATGGGAAACTTGAAGCTCTTTTTCAAGGAAATATATTGTTTTCGAAAAACTTTATTATGTTATTTTAAGCACTTCCACTCACAAATGCAGTAATGTATACAAATCACTGGAAATGTGTATATTAAAGGTATAAGAGATTTTAAAAAAAGCATTAGTGTAATTTTTGAAGAAAAAAAAAACAGTAAATAGCCATTAAGAGATCTTAAACAGTGACAAAAACATTACCTACAAAAAAATCATTTACAGCACAGCACATATACTCATAAGTACAATAATTTAAACTAATCACCACTAATGGAAAAAATATCGACGTGACAAGTAAAAAAAACTAGGTTTTTGTAATTTTGGGAAAACATGAGAGAAGAATGGCATTTATATCATCTTAGAGTACGTTTAGCACTATACCTATCAAAATTTTAAAGAAAAAAAATCGAGCCTTCGAGAAAATCTAATTTTTGTGAATCTTATTTTGAAATATTGCAAATTTTTCGTGAAATATTGTGCGAAAACGCACTTATTTTGAAAATTTTAGTAATGACCTGAATGAAAGAAATAACAATTGAGATTTGTTTTTACTTAAAGTAAAAATCCATCTTCAATTCTGAAATAAGAATACACCGAAAGTTTCTAACTTTTGAAATTTTCCAAAAATCATAGAAAACAGTGAAAAAAATAACATAACCCATCTTTATTAGTGAATTTTACTCTATTCTTTCAAAAAATTTAAAGAAAACATTTGGAGTAATTTTTGAGAAAATTTTGAAAATGTCGCAGGGGCTTGATGTAAAGAACCTCCAAATTTTAAAGGTTTTTAAAATCGCAAATCTTCTAATATAACCACTTCGACCGGAGAATATCCATTTTGGAAAAAATCGTACGTATGTTTTAGGCGCCAGTGGTGTTCACAGACGAACGGATGTTTGACCGTCCGTCAATTTTTCGGCATGAAGGGCCCACAAATCATGGATGCTGGCTATGGATGTATTGCAAGATTTTTTCTAAATTTAGCAACTGGATTTACCCACATTTTCTTTTCCAAGGCCCGGCAATAAGATTTTTTTCTGCCGAAAATTCGCCGTTTTTTCACGTAGAATTACATAACTTTATCTCTACTTAGTACGCGGTAGCGAGAAAGTAAAAGGATACGATCCCACAAAATTCGATTTTAATGGAATGAGACCTTTATCAATTATAATTCCAAGAAGAATAAACATAAGTAATACTATGCTTGAAAAACTAGTATTGTTGAAGGAAAATGTTTCCAATTGAATATTACTGTATACCTCAACCATGTTTTGAGTAATACATTGTGAAACTAGGCCATTGGTAATGGTTGTATTTTGTATTTTCGTGAGTATTTTAAAAACTATTTTGTATCTAAAATGCTTTTATGGAAGTATTTTGTATCTGAAATACTTTTTTCGAGTATTTTGCCTGGATAGACTCAGGATGTTTCATGCCTGCGCGAAAGCCTCGTCCACTTTGAGCTACAGAACGAAGCGGCACTTTCCGCGGGAAAGTGCGTCAGTCGCATACATTTGATAACAATTAGAAGAGCTGTTTATCAGAAAGTTCTGAATGTACAGACCTCGGCTTAGGCTAAAAATGTAGCAATTTTAATTTACTTTAAAAATGAGAAAAATAGCGTTTTCTTTGGAAGGAATACTTTAAGAGTATTAAGCAATTACAAGTATTTCCTTTTTTATATTATTTTACACAGGTCTTTTAAAACTACAAAATTGGATTCTTACTATAGCAATTGATTTTAACATGATATTTAAAAATTAGAACATTACGTTTTTGCAAGGTCAGGAGTGTAAATTGACTGGTGTAGAACCCAAATCAGTGATCTTGTACACATGCTATAATGATAGTTAAAACCATTTTTGTGTTTGGAGTGAAAAAAAGGGCTTATTTGGTTTTCTCTGGAGGATAACAATAACACAATTGAATATGATATGAAGAATAGAAATGAAATAATACTGACATGTTACTGCAAACCTGTGAAGTACTAATTAAGTATATAACATTTAACTAACTTTTCAAAACAATGCAATGAATAAGGCACAGTTGGCAGGTTTGGCCCACAACATAGCCATACTATTACTAACACTATTATGATGAAATTAGGCACTGTATTGGTAGAATTCCCAATATTGTTTTTATATGTAACAAGTATTTTATTGTATTTCTAGACCAATGACCCCATCTCGATCAGGTTTTGTTCAGTTTTCCTGGTCCTTTGAGCAAATGCTGAGATGGCCCCTTGTTTGCTCCTAAACAGTAATATAACTTCGCTCTCTCCACCCAAGGCATCATATTGACTCGTCATACACGTTTGTAATTGTAAAAGTGACTCAATAAATATTATTATTATTATTATTATTATTCTAATGTCACTTTTCTGGAAATCAAATGTAAGATCCAATGATACATCAAAACCTATCAGGTACACTGACACTGAAAGATACTAAAAAATTCTATTTTACATAATTCAATGTGCTTTTTTAGTGAAGCTATATTTTCTGTAAACTAAATTAATTTTTCACTGATTACTTTTCAACTGAACCAGACTAGTTGGTATTTTATTAATGTTTATTTTTTAGTTCTTAATTATGTATAAGTAATCTTTGTTTAGGATAAGAAAGTAAATCTTCATATACCATTGAACATTACACCACTACTGTTATTACTAATATGGTCTTACATGATCACTACTTTTTTTATAGTTAATGCTTCTAAGATTGATTATCTTTAATGTCTAAATGTGTACATAAAGTTATTCTCTCTTTTATTATGTGTCAAACCATCCTCACATCAGGTTTGGCCCACATCTGCAGATTTTATTTGTTACTTTGTGCAACATTAATCTACCTGGAAAAGTCATCATATTTTTTGTCATATACTATAATGTAATCTAACATTACATACCAAAAACAATTGTTTATTGTCAAAAGGAATGGAGGAACACTATGGTTAATTAGAAAGTGTATCAAATCTTCTGAATTTCCCCTATATGTTTATAACCTTCTGGGTTTATTTCAGTAATGAGTTTTTTAAGAGATGGCTGAAGTGTTGGTGGGTAGGTGTAGTGTGGCTAGTGTAGAAGTGTAGTGACTGAGGTAGCAATATATTTATAATGTACCCGCCACCAATAGTACAAGAAAGTCTGTGATGTTGTAGTATCTCTAGTTTTTAATTTATCCCATTTTCTTGCCTTTTGGATCTTTTTAAACTTAGGTGAGTGCCGTAACGTTGACAAGGTAAGAAGAAAACCAATACATCATGAAATCCAAAACTTGGAAAAGGTTCATAAATAACAAAATTCAATTGCTCACTGATAGGTGTTGTTAAAATGTACTTTCAGGACTTAATTTAAATAAGGTAAAAATGTCTTAAAAGATATAAGACCTTTCGCAAGAGAGAACAATGCTCAGACAAACCAGTGACACCCAAAAGAAGGAAGCTGAAGACATTTCTAATTGAATTTCCTAGATTCTTTTTGTTCAATCAATTTACAAAAAGATCTCACTGACAGGATTGGAATATAATTTAAGATCTCACAAAATGAGCATACATGTCAGATATATAAGATTGTTTATATGGATACATAAAACAAAGGACGGTTAAATTCTCACATAGTTAAAGTGATCGCTATTGTTAACATTTAGTATTTTTAATAAATTCCCGTAAGTCCCAGTGATGCTATTTAATAAATTGTATGTTTTTTTTCTTGCTTAAGCAGTATATTAGAGAAAAAGTATGTTAGATGTGGCAGATGTTAAAAATTTTCAATGTTCACATTTTCACGTAATTAATGAAGATTTTTAATATTAACTATAATGCAAGTATAAAATTACTAAATAGGTCAAAAGTGTTACTTTCTTCCAAATACAATACTAGAATTTTTACTACAGGCTCAAGACAATATTGTTAGCATGTTATTTACTTATTACCAGAATTATTAGTAGAAGAATTATGAAATAATATGACAATGTGTCTGTGTTGGTTGAAGACAATGGTTGACAGTGTGTCTGTAAATGCTGTCCAGTAAAATTACTGTAATTTTACCAAGGGACATCATTTAGGACAATATCAGGAACAGAATTCCGTTGCAGACTAGGCAACGAGACCATTCATCAACTGCACAAATGTGATTGCAAGATTCACATACTCATTTTTGAGGAACAACTAAGAAATTTCATGCTCTGTAAGAGGGTTATTAACTTATTTTTACCTTAAAAGTTTACATAGCCTAAGTTGCAGGTGATACATTATATCACACGTACAGATAGAATAACAGTTTCACAATACCTGAAACACTCAACATGTCACTGTTTGTGACATAGGATAAAATAATATTTGAAGAATACTTAATACTATCATAATCACATAAAGAAGAAAAATTAACTTCTGATACAATTAATACGTAACATGTTTAAATTGAATAATTTCTTACTTAGTAGTAGGCGGCACCACAGATGTATGCCCCGTATGTATATTATAGCATAATTTACAAAAAATATATTACCAAAACACAAAATTCCTCACAACAAAGAATTTTAAATCTCAAACAAAGAAAAACGGTTACACCTGATTCTAAAAATACATAATCTATTGAACGTAAATAAACACAAAATTAATAATACTAATACAAGAGAAATTAACTGTACTTACGGTGTAAACAAAGAGGAATTTATTCCTCATTTCTGATTTAATTTCAGAAGCTGAATTTCCTTCCAAAACACCCATGCCAACAAAAAATACAGCAATACAGACAGGTGATATAACAATTTGGTCAAGTAGTATCTTCTTACTGACACTAGCAAAATCTCGTTTCGGTAATAATTTATCTATATATCCATAGAATACATGTTGAGGTGGTCCCAGTATAAGACCAACCCAAAACATCCGATCTAGAAGAAATCAAATTTGCAAGAACAAAATTTTGGGATGGTACAAGTGGTAAAACTAAAAACAAATAAAATGTGAAAAAGATTTACTAACGAATTCGCTGCCAGTCATATCGTTTCCATAGTTTGGACCCTTTGTGATGTCCTCTGTAAATTTCCAATTCTTGTTGGATGATATCACCAACGCCCATCAAAATACCACTAGAGATGGTATTAGTGATAAACAAGTACTTGCCAAATATTTTATCAGCAATTGTTTGGTTTGGTTTTTCATTATTTACCCGACTGTGCCATCGGGTAATTACCCGTGGATACCACCCAGAAAATAATACTTTTAGTTTCATTATTCAACCTTCGCGCTGATTTGACAATCTAAATTGTTGTCACACCGCTGTAGCAACAGAAAACTTGCACAGCACAACGTCTCGACACCAAGGACAATAAGTGCGCGAATTTGAAGACTTTTAATCCACTGGCCATAAAATGTGTTATAACTACACCATATTACCCAACTACATACTTTACCACTTGGGAATATACCTATAATTTTGCAAATATATAAAATCGTAACAAAAATATCGTAGTATACTCATTTCACACACCCAAAATCAGTAACAATACGCGAACTACTGGCCTATCAAGCCTATCTAAACGTGAGCGTGTATGGGAAGATAATACCAGGTGGAAACGACAGGTCGACAAATTACAATAACTAAACAAAACTGGAACACACGGAACATTAAGCAACGCTAATTCGAATATCTGAAGACGTGCTCATGCTGGCAAGGGAGCGATACTTCACCACAGCACTGGGCGAGGAACGAAATACAAACTGATGAACCATACACCATTTTCCACTTCATTTACTAATTATTATAATTTTATTTATTATTCAAATAGAACTACCCAAAGCAAACAAATTGTCAGAAATGCCGGCAGAGTTCAAATATTTGAAAATAATGAACAATTAGTTGCGTCTTATCTTATGTCACGCCACGGTGTGATCACAGAGCATTCACACATACAGCGATCACCCCCATGCACAGATCACTCACACTGGGTTTAGCTTTGTTATGGGTGTGATCCTCCACCGTGATGCAAGGAGATCATTGCATCAGACATCTGGAACACATAATGCAAATATCGATACCAAAGAGTATATGATAATCGATACAAGATAATTTGGCGCCGGTTTCGGACGGGTGTTTGTAAATGTTCATGCGGCTTCAGGTAATTTATCATGATTCAGTTTTTAGTAGTTTATTTTCCGTGATTATAAAGTAAACTCCACAAAATAGTAAAAGGGAAGTATGGGTCGCTCTTGTTGCGTGTCGGAATTATGTCAATACAACTACAACCTCTACAGATCAGCATTTCAATTCCAGAATAGACGCTGCAAGGCACGTGGGCTAGTGCATTAATCGTGATTAGTATGTAGTAACGGAAAAGTAATTACTTTGCGTAAAATATTTTGGAGACATTTGTAATTAGAGAGGTTGTTTACCATGGTTGGTAGAGAATCACTTATTATTCCTTGAAATAAACCAAAACTGATGGAGAGATGCGTTCTTTACAATATTCCCCAAAAAACCTTCCACTTTTTGAGTGCCCCCTAGACCGACAAGATCCTACCTTATGATTAATTCAAATGTTAGCAAAAGAAAAAAAACTAAAGCGGTGAAAAATATCAAACCATTTAGTTTAATCCTGCTGCATTATCTTTAATATTGAATTTCATTTAATGGAAAACGTATATTCCTAACATATTATAAGATATTTTTCGATTATCTGGGGGTTGTGAATCTATGCACGATCCTGCACTGATACTGACTTTTATGAAACTTAGCTTTAATTTACATAAATTGCTTGTACATTAGCGTTCTAAATTTTGGAAATCCCATGTCAGTCACTCGATGGAAATACAACTCCCCAGTTTGTTGGGACACCACCCGCTAGATACAGCTGGTCATTTTGCAACTTGTAATCTTAGTCTCCTAATGGCGTACATTATTTATGAAGGGATAAGGTCGTTTCTTAAGCCTGAGATAAGACGTTATTACTGCAAGGCCTGTCAATGTTGCGTGGCGCTTCAACTCCCTCTTCTGAAGGATTCTCCCTAATGACCGGGAGCGGGACCCGCAGAGCGCCGTAGGAGGTCGCCGCCGAAGAGAAAATTGGGTTGGCGCGCATGTTGGACGCATTGCTCCAGGTAGTCAAGTCGGCAGGTACTGAAAAAGGGGGGTTACTCGGGAAAAGGCTATTAAAACTGTCTCTTTGAGTATGTTGTATGTACCCAGACACTAACTTCAAGTGGTGTAGGAAAATGATTCCAATGAATTTTAAAGAGGATTAACTTTTATATAAAATATTTTTCGAAACCAATTCCCCAGCGAGCTACAGATTTTCGAAATAAAATGCTATTTTCAATTCTCAAAAATGTGGGCAAACATACGCGTTTGTGAGATTATAGTGCCTGAATACATACATCCTCAATGAAAATGATTTTGTGACCTTTTCCCAAGTAAAATGTACATACTGACTGGACTATGAGGAGCATCAAAGGACTAGAGCGGAATCGCCAAAGCGGCGTTGAACGGCAGTGTCAGAGATTCGGAAGTTCGAGGTGGGTGGTTACGTAAGAGTTTTCAATTGATAAGCGTTACAGAAAATCGTGACGGAAAACTAGTGGTACTAAAACACCACACACTTACTTCTAACGTTTGCAATATCCGAAAATTCAGTATTCAATGAAAATGACATCTCCGCCAGTCTTTAAAGTGTCCGTAGAAAGTAGTAAAGACAAATTTTGGGGCAGTTCTGAAATTTTTTTGTACAATTTTCATTAACTGTAAGTAGAAATGGTAGTTTTTTAAATTTAATGTTCATGACCTTTTTTAAAGATCTGATTTGTGTGGAACAGATTTTAATACAGATGAAGTTTTAAGAACAGATAAAGATTAAAATGATATAGATTAAAAATCTGTATCATGAACATTCTTTTGCGATTCGATAATTCAGTGAGTTCTCCTCAGAATTGGCAACGCTCTTTTATCTGTTTTGATATATATGAGGAGAAAATTTCAAGAAAAATTGCCCTTATTATGCAAAAATCTGGAATTTCAACAAATGACCCATGACATTCTTTCAAGTGTCATCTATGATATCCGTAGTTGAATAACAAAATTTGGTTCCATTTTGGAGAATATTTTGAAAATGACGTTTCATGTAAAATACCCCTCCAAAATCAAAATATATTTCAAACAAGCAGGGCCTCGAGTACTTTTAGATCTATCGGGGAATATCAACTTTTGAAGAAAGTCGTCTGAACTGTTTAGGTGCTAGCGTCAACCACAAATGTTTTGCTGTAAATCGATATATAGTAGATAGTATGTAGTATTATAATGGCACTGCGCAGTGCCATTATAACTAGCGATATATATAGAGGGACGGGGAGAGAGAGAGGAAGAGAGTGGGAGAGAGAGAAGAGAGGGAGATGAAGGGCAGTACGTCTGCCGGGTTTCGCTAGTTATATTATAATAGCACTGCACAGTGCCATTATAATACTCTCTGAGCAATGCTGTTTCCCCGAGTAGACAAATGACCTGGTCTAAAGCTGTGCTAATGTCGTCTTGGAAAAACGCACCGACATTTGATGAGGCACTGGCTGTGAAGAAATTGGAAAAATATTAAAGCTTTCTACAAGAATCAGTATGAAAAAAGCCTACGTAATCACTTTTTGGTAATAGGAGGAACACAATTATGTGGACTTTTTTGCTTGAAATGATTTACCTGGTATTCATAAGATAAACTCTTGTGTAGCACCACATTAGGATTAGAAAATAATTTTAATGCTTTTTAAAATTGCAAACATCATGTGCTGATAAATTTGTACACACATACTTGGCAAAAGCAAACATTTCACACAAACATTTTTGAGCTATTGTTTTCATCTTGCCAAATAGATCACCTCACACTAAAGCAAACTGTGAAGAAAATGATCAAAACGTGAAAATGTGGAGACTTCAAAATATATATTTTGGTAAAACCAAGTTTTCTTTTTTACAAATGGAATAATTTAGCAATGATGTATCTTAATAAATGAAAAATAAAAATTAACTTGAAGTCCCCTCTATGCTTTGTTCATTTTCAATTTATCTTTGGTTTTTGCATGACCATAAAATTCACAAACTTCATTACAAATATTGTAAAAACTAATATTTCAGTTTTTAAAAGAGAATTTTCTATTACTCAATTCCTCGATTTTGATAAATCAAGGAATTAGAAAATTAAAATTAGACAATTAATTTATGAAACTACTTGAATAGTGCTTTCAATATTTATATATATTGAAAGCAAAAAGCTCATTTTCATTTAATACATATCAGAAATTAAATATTTTGATAGTCATAATTATGAATTCTTGGCATGATTGTTCTACACCAGAGCATGGAAGGGACTTTAATTCAGTACAAGTATGATTAAACAAGATAAACAATAGCTAGCCCTGGAAGATGGACATACATGAATGGCAGTAAACTAGCTAAGACTAGCCATCAACACAATCTGCAGAAGATCATTTTTCCACAGTTGTTTATTAAGCAGTACAGTCAAGAAGTTTCTCAACACATTTCTGTATTAATCTATTTCTTTTGGCAACTAAAAGAGAAAAATTATATCATAATTGAAAGAACAAGAATGAAATAAAATACAAATTTTCAACAGAAATGAGAGTACAAATCATTTCTATAACAAAAGCTAGAGACAGTATATAATTCATGTGTGAAACATTATAGGTTGAAAGAGCAATTAAATTACAGAAAAATGTCAAAAAGCAAATTCAATGTCAATTTAAATAAATATTATGAGTGAGGGACAGAAAGTCATAAGCATCATCAAACTAAAGAATACTTTTTGACTGCACTATAAAAAAAAAAAAAATAAATCTTGTGACATCACGCAGATCAACTTAAAACAAGACTATATTTCATACATGACCGCAGTTACTTAGTAATTAATAATTTGAATGAAAGTAACTGAGAGAAAGAACATTTATTGAGTTGGTTTTTACTTCAACAATTTTTTTCTATTTATAATTCCAGGAACCCTATTCTTATAATCAAAATTCAAATAACACAAATCTATATTAAAATTATGCATTTTTTATCCAAGAAAATCACTGAAAAACACAGACACATTGTTGTTTTCAATAAATACAGAATACTTCTGCAGTGATATATGGAACACAGCTGTGGTTGTTTTATTTAACTCTAGTATATATCCTTACTTTAAAAAATTATATTCCTGAGAATAAAGGCACAAAACCTCACTAAACACGTAAGAAATTTTTCAACACACCCAATAACCCTGGAAAGTCTTTTCTCCATATTTCTATTGCAACTGCATCACAGTGTCAACAAAAGTATCACTGTCTTTACATGAGAGGATTAGATAATTTGAAGGACAAAGAGGATATTGGTTTTCTCTTTCAAAGGTTAAGAATAGTTTTTCTTCCTAACATTTTTAATTAAATTATTGCTTTCAAATCCTACTAAAAAGGTGGCCTGCAATAGTAACATAATATTCTGTATCAATTTAAATTGTTTTTACTAATGCTGTAAATATACAGTCAAAAAGAGTATTTACAAATTAATAAACAATAAGTCTTTAAATAAAGGTAGTACATGACCACCATTCTCTAGTAAACAAACAATATACATATCAGCATACAGAAAAGGTATACATATACGGTACTATATATAGTACAGTACATGCACAAGTTACATATAAATCGAACACAACATGCCGTAGAGGCTTTTTGTGCATAGCACAAATTTCATGTTAAGTATTTGCAGCCACAATACTGTTGATAAATATGAAAGGTTGGAACCAGGTTGTAATATTTGGTATACTATAAACAAAGAAGCAGAACGCGGAGATCTTATCACAGGTCAGTTCCCTGGTTACAGGTAGCAGAGAACGAAGTTACTGAGCAAGCAATGCTTGAGCTTTGAAAGTTAATTTACGAATTCGCCCTCTGCTGCTTACACTGGTTACTGGCACACAATTTGACCCCCCTCTTTTTTTAAGTACCCGCGTCTGCTTACACTTACGTTATTTTGTGAGGAGTGCCCTAGCCCTAGGAGTAAGTTTTCTAACTCTGCCTCTGCTGCTTATACTGATTCCTGGAACCATGTCAGAGCTATCACTGTCTTCAGCGTAATGTGTTCGTTTACCTCTGGTTCGTCTACCGGTGTCTTCATCACTTTCATCACTAGCTTCACAGTATTGAACTTTTCGAGCTCTAGTAGATCTCACATTTCCACAATCACTACCATCACTTTGCACTCCACTTCCTTCGCTATCATGCATATAATTTTGACGAAGTCCTCTCGTACGACGACTCACCCCTGATGTTGCCTCACTGTCACTGTCATCCCTATATCTGACTGGACGTACTTGAGATCTTTGCTTCCGTCCACTGCTAGTAGGTCTGCTGCTGCGTTCATACTGATCACTATTTTCTTCATTATAATGAACTTTCTGCTTTCCTCTATTCCTGGTTCTGACGGCAGTACTAGGTCCTGGACCATAACTGTCTTCCGAATCAGATGGTCTGGGTCGCTTTTTACCTCTAGACTGGCTTGTTCGCTGACTTCTCGGCGTTGGACTGGCTTCTCGGCGGCGATGCCGTTGCTCACTGTCACTGCCAGAACCTGAGGAGGATGAACTGCTGTTACCAGAACTGCCACTGCTACTGCTGCTACTACTACTATTTGAGGAACTGCTGCTCCCATTACTACTGGAATCACTTCCACTGTCTGAGTCACTACCAGCGTTGGCCTTTGTCTTTCTTAAATTAGTCAGACGTAACCGTATTACTGGTCTTGCAACAGGACCTCCTCTAATATGTCCATTAGCAACAGGATTTCCAGCTACAAAAAATTAAGCAGAAGAAAAGGGATTCAGAAACTACAATGATCCACTACTAAATACATAATATAGTTTCATATAATTTACTCATACCAGAACTCTTTTTCACAGAAGATTTCTTTGCCACTGGATGTTTTCTTACAGGTCTCTCAGGTTCACTAACAGAATCAGAATCCTCACTATCCTGGACACACCGAGATGGACCTGAAATAATAATAATATATTCTTTGTCACTATGCTTGTTCATGAATAGAAAATATCAAGATGTGCAAAATACAAAGTAAATGTACAAGATATGATAGACATAGTTGTCACAATATAAACCAATACAAAAAGCAGTAGTAGAACGACAAAATAAGATATGTAAAATTAAATAATGATAATATCTAATAAAGTAAGCAATATGTTCCTGTGTTTCATTCAAATAGGTTGGGCTGAATCTCTCAGCAAATCGATGGTGGATGTAAGGAGTATGTTATATTATTAGGAATTGCGGATACATGTGATATTTATCACCCTTGCAGCTTATTGGTACATCAGTACTTGAGTTTTTTTGACAAGAAAAGGCAGTGTAAGAGCCCAGCTGACTAGGCTTAATCTTTGCATATAAGATTACCCTGCATTTTTTAAATGAGATATTTTGTAAAAAATCTTGTCTCACTTTTGGATAAAATGGGTGCTTTTCAATATTTTACCTTGTAACTTAATGGACTTTCCTTAATCAGACTAAGGACTTTTCTGAGAACCATCAAGTCAAAGACACAGGGTTACCTCAGGCAAATGAATGTCACTCCAAAATCAAGGGTGAGCCGCAAGGCTTACTTTATGAGAATCAGGGAGTAAAGTGAGCTCTTAAAGCTGGATAAGTCAACCACAGTAAAGCTTGCCTAGGAAGATCCCTCAGGCACCCACAAATGGCAGCTAGGTTCGGAATCGGGCCTAGCTAAAAGCTACACCTGACTTCAAAGAAACAGGGATACATACCACCAACCACAGATATTCATTGCCACTCAAAAGTTGGACAATGTGATGCAGGAATTCCAAAAACGTAATGCCAATTCTTACCTGCTCCATTAACTAGTCGAGTCACGTGAGATGATGAGGCATTTCTTGTTCTGGTACTACTCCTCCTTAGTGCCTGTGTATTTGCTGTGGCACGTCGCCGAGCAGCTTTCCAGTTATATATGATTGTTTTCATGTGTTCCTCAAACATTGCAGAAAGTCTCACTGTCATAGAATAGATCTAAAGACCAGAAGTAATAATTAGAACACACATACACACACAAAAAAAAACAAAAAATTAGTTCTGAATGAAAGCAAATACAATCTATAATTTTATCATATCTATATATCTATATTATTTTCTGTTGATGTTATAAATATTTAACAAGAAGGAATATATGCCGGCTTTCAATTTAAAAATATAAAATTCTAGAAGAAAATGCTGTAGAAAATACATTTGTAATAGTATTCTCTTTAAATACAGAAAAATCTAAGCCAGAATCGATTGTTTATACAAGTTTGACCTTTTCACCTAAGATTAGAGTTTCATCGTTTCTTCAACCATTGTTAAACTGGTTGTAAAACTTTTAAAAATACACACCATCTCACTGCCAAGTGGCTGCATTTGGACTGCTTGCCGACTCTTTAAATGCACAATGTGTCACAGCACAGAGTACAATAGCTTTCTGATACCCTCGCATAGCCGTGAATAACGTGTACCTGGCCAAGGAGTTATGATTTTCTACACGCGACAGGAAGACGTGTGAATAGAAGCCATGAGCATACACCTTCCCATGCTAAGAGAGTTGAGAGGGTAGAAATTCCCCTATGGCTTAGGTCTTGAGAGACTAGTTATCCCAAGGTCAAATTCTATGCAACAGCTACAGCCCCTCTCCTTTGATTGTCTATCATGACTAAATCGTGTGACACAAGGATAGAGAATTTAAAACAGGCAAGCTTGCAGATGCATTCATTTCAGTAAAAATAGCTTGAGTCTCTCTGCCAATTGCATTAAATTCATAGGGATTCCTTTTTATATTTTTTCCCCCCTTGTAGGACATGAAAAACTTCATTTTCCATGTTGGACAGGTTCCGTTTTATGCTGTGTAAAATGTCATTTAACTTCACAGGCTGAAGAAATTTTCAGGTTAAGGCAGGTTTCCAGCTTCAGTACAAGTTCCAATTTGGACAGATTTTACTGTACTTTTATAAAAATTTAATATGTTTTATAGAATACATTCTAAATATGAATGTCAGCAAAGGCTGGTACACTTACCCTTGAGCGTTTATTAGTGTTATAATTTTTGGAATTCAGAAAGATCAATCGAACATCCTTACAGAACTCAAGTGGGCTTTCATAATTACCACCTAACAGATCTTCTTTAACTGTTCTTAGATCCATTGGTGTATCAATCACTTGGTAGTAATCTGGATGTTCTAATTCATCAACTGGTTCCCTATAAAGACACAAAGAAATTTTAATTTTAAATTGTATACTGAATAAAAAAATTGTGCTAAGCAATTATATGCAATATTGGTCTAAGATATTCACTAGAGTATATAAGATGTTTGAAATGCCTTCTGAATAAAGTTTTAAAGAATCTTCATGAAAAGGATACCATGATTCAAAATTTATTAATAATTAACTTAACGTTAGAGAGAGATGAATAGACAAAGAAACTAATAAGCGATATTCCCTTAAATATTATATTATTCCATCTTTGTTACTAAAAAAGTGTTGTTTCTTCCCCCCAAAACATGTTTCTACTTATCTCCCTGTGAATAACATTAGAATCTAACTCAACCAAATGAAAAAGGTCTTTTAATTTTGGGGGGAACTTTACGTGAAGTGGACATTATCAATTTTCTCTAAAAAATTGCACCATTTTTTTATTTTTATTTTTTGCTTCAATAGAACAAAGCATAGTTACAATCTGATTTTCAGTAAAACCTCTGAAAATCACAATACCCTCCTCCCCCCTTAAAAGATTAAAGATATGCTTATTCTTGTTTTTGTTTTTGTCTGTTATTCAAAATTAATCTTTAAATAATGTAAGGTACATTTTTTTTCAAAAATATAAGTACTTTTTTAATAATTTTGAGGCAAATCATAACAATTAAAAAAAAAAAAACAAGATTTTTTAAAAAAGGTTCCAAATTTCTTTATAGATTACAAACTTCAATTAAAATTATCTTTCGAGCTGGAGGGCTGTGGTCTGTTGGAAATCATAGACCACGGCACACCAGCCCAGAAGATAATTCTAATTGTGAATCCAGCTGTGAAAGCCTACATTGTCTTATTCATGGAAACTTAGTTTAATAATATTGAATTGAATTAATGCCTTATTTTACGTGGCGAGACTTGGGCCATCAGGTCCGCTCTTCCGTCCGACCGCAGAAATTTCGCTATGCTCCTTTCACCAACTAGTGGAGAAAGGAGGTATTTCTTGGGCAAGAAACGGGTGATTTGAATTTTGCTCAGAGGCGTCATTTAGGCTAGAGGATCTTTTACATGCAAGTAAATCTACTAACATGGGACAGCTGGCTCTACTTCCCCTCCGAAGGATTTTTTCGCCCTTAAAAATCCACAGCTTCGATCAGGTTTGAACCCGCCAACTTTGGTCCAACAGTCTGGTACGCTAACCATTACACCATGGCTGCCGAATACTATAGCATAGGTCTGCTTTTCGATAAAAGATCTACAATTTCAAAGAGTGGTCCTTAAGCAAAGAAAGCCATCACTGGCCTTGATTACAAGTGCAACTGATTTAAAATGTAGGAAATGTTTGCACAGGTTGAAATAGTATAATATTTTGTAACTGCTACACTTAATACAAGACAATCAACTTTAGTAAGGGACGTAAGTGATTCTGAAGAATCCCAAAGCTGAATTTGTACATATATTTCAAAAGTATTCAAACCACCATGTAGAAACCAAAGGCAAACTACAATTCTGAGACCATTTTGCCTTTTCGTTGATTTGTGAAAGTTAAAAATAATTCAGAATAACTTAAATAATTTCCTAGTTCATATAGACATGCACTTGCACAAAACATATAATAAATTTGTATTAGATGTTCATCTAGCAGAAGTGTTCTAATACATCAAGTTTCATATTTCTCCATTTCTATTAATTGTTCATCTGTCATCCTGAGCAAATTTCATGCTTATTTCAAATGCTCTAGTATCATTCTATAATTTATTAATATGCATCAATTAAATAAATAGAACAAAAAACTGCGTAAAAATTAACACACTACACTAACATAACTTTTTGAAGTAAACCCAATACATGTTTGTAATTAATGTGTATCTTATTTCTAAAACAAATTTTAAAATGTAAATTTAGCAATAACTCTGAAATACTGATGTCTTTTAACCAAACAATATTTTCCTACATTGCGATTTCAGTATTTATGGTCTCCATAATACTGAGAAAAGCAAAAAAATCCATATTAACCTGAAAGGTGTAGAATCTTCACACATCCATAAAGTTTCCAGAAGTTCACGACAATCTCTTCTCCAATCTGTTGAGATCTGTTGCCTCAGTGACATTCTACGAGATGTCTTCTTTTGACGCATTGAACGTCTAGGATTTATACAACTAGGACCTGGCACGTCCACATCAATTTCTGACTCGGATTCCGAAGAATGATAGGCTTCTACTAGTTCATGATATACACTTGATACATCAATAACATTTCGATCCCTAGAAAAAATTGCAGAGATTAAGTATATATGTATGCATTTTTTCTAGACAACCAGCTAACAAAATACTTACTTGATAACTCGCAAACAAAGTTCTGTAATCAATCTTGCTTTCTTCACTATCTGACTGCTTGGTTCATTGAATTTTTCAGCATTAGTAGCAATGTAACGTACGTCAAATTGGGCAGATGTAACTCGACGATAAAACCTATTATCAAACCTTCCCTAAAAATATACAAAAATGCTTTTACTTCCAGTTCATTTTAAGAACACAAGATGCTTTTTAAAATCAGTAGATGTAAAATTCAAATATGTGTATTATTACAAAAATTACATAATTACAGAAAGTGTCCTAAATTAGTGATTTTGTTGCAGAATATTTCATATTAATACAGTAATAAGTAGGGCTTGGATTCTGATGTCTAAAAAACAACTTAAAAATGTTCTAAAAATAATACATTTATGTCCAAAAATCTTTACAAAAATCCTTTAACACTTATTCACTTTGCAATTTTTATATTGCAAAATAATATTTCATTCTTTTCGCCAATTAATAGTTACAAGAAATAAAACTTTGAGAATAAATTGAAAAATATAAAACATGGCTAAATAATTAATCGAAGGAAGTGTTTCTGTTGAACGACAGAAATGATGCAAAATCATCAAAATTCTAGCCCTTGTAATAAGACCTAAGATATTGTAAGCAAACATATAAAAGCAACTCACCTTAATTGTTGATAAATCGATGGGATATTCCACAACAAATGCATAAGATGGATATAGACTGAGATCTACAGGAGCACTAAATGGTTCAGCAATAGCCAAACCCATTATCTGATCAAGTCCAGCAAGAATACGAGTACATGCAGCTTCCCGATCCCCTTGAGGCCATTCTTCAGGTCTTGGTTGATATAAAATAGCTTGAATTTCTTCAGGAAGAACGGGAACAGCTCCTCCTTCTTCAGCTGGTAAACCTAAAGAGTGAGGTAAAAGCAAAACAAAAAAGTCAATTACCACATTTAAAAGAATCTGGAAGTGTACAATATTTGTATTTAATATGCACTAAATTTCTAAACTTATCAGCAATGAGAAAAGACAGTAATTCTGTTTTCATTTATTGATTATCCTGTTTATATATGCATTTCGTCCATTTCAGAAAGTGTACATGATATTCATTTATAAAAATGTTTCTTTTAACAATTTGATTGTCCAGTATGAAAATATTACAGAATTAAGAAAGAGGAGAGGCGAGAGGGAGGGAGGGAGCCTCTTCATTGGAATAATAATAATAATAATAACAATAATAATAATAATTATGATTATCATCATCTAAATTATTTAGATTATTAACTAAACTAAGAGGAAAAACAAAATGTGGGACAACAAAAGAACTTACGATCTTCACTAACGGGTTCCAAATCCCAAGGGCTCATTAACTCAAACTCTCCATTGTCCCATCTCACTTGAAAGCACATGAAATGGGAATCTGGAAAGCTCTCTTCAAAGGGACTGTGTGACACTATAGTTCCCATCCACCAAAAATCATCAATCATACATCGAAACCTATCACCTAGAAAAGAAAAGATACAAATATATTCATGAATACTCTTTCATAGAATAGAGAGCAAAAAATACAACAATTCAATCACATAGTGAAATGAAATGGTAAAAAATTATCTGGTGTTTGACAAAGTAGTACTGGATTCAAATATATAGTAAAGTTCCGACCAATTTGAGAAAATTAAAAAAAAAAAAAAAAAAAAAAAATTAATTAATTGCCACAATTTCATTTCAAAATTACGCAAAAAATTACAGATACTTTTCCACAATAAATTAAGACAACATTTTTGGAAGATTCTAATTTTGGAAAACAGATTGTCATTAAAAACAATCACCATCTTCGAGTAAATGTGTTGTAGGAGCTTCTTGGAACAAGATGTAACTTTTGCAAATGAAAAATTCAGAGATTTATTAAAAAATGATCGTGTACCATTTTGTATATACATAATGCTTTTCCTTCTTGGGCAAAAAAATGTAAAGAAAAAAACTTGAAGTCAGTTTGAGGAAGTTCTGCTACGCTTTTGCTCTATGCCCCAAATCCTTCACAATATCCATCCCAAATTTAAGAGGCCGCGGCACATCACTGAGATTGATGAAGGAATTACCAATTTCAGTACAAATTCAAATTAACGGTACTAGTGTTCAGAGAACCAAATGGTTGAACAATGTTTTCAACAGAAAATACTTTTTTTGCATCAAGGACTTTCCAAAATGTTCTGTTCTACCATATATGTAAATACTTTTACACAAGTAATACGAATTACATATAGTCAAGAAAGATAGCAGAATAGAAAACCTTTTTTGGTATTCAAGGTTCCCCAAAATTCAATTTTTTATCAAATTCTGTTCCTCTAGATAAGTTCTCATAGAACACTTTACAATAAAACTCCTTCTCTAAAGGGATCGATATGAAAATTTAGTGTTTCCCTTATAGTTTCTATCATGATCCAAGACGCAGGCACTCCTCGTACAAAATTATAAAAATTATACATACCAACTTCCAATTCACTTGTTGCTGTGTCATAGAGTCTGACCGCAAAAGCCAAGAAAAATCCAAAACCATTGCCATGTCAGTCATATTTAATGGTAAATTCTCTGCAGTAAAGGCGGCCATCAGCTATTCATGAGAGCTAATTTTCAGCCATCGCACAACACATCCTAGGTGGTCGATATTTCATATTTAATGCCATTATTTCACCAGTTATGTGCCTTGAAGAGAAACATATAAATAATTCTTGGTTGAATTGACAAATGTGAATAAATTAATTTTTTCAAATATAAAATCTCATGTGTTATCGTTTTTCAGTAAAAAGCATACTTCACAAATTCACAATATAGAAAGCCTCTTTTGCTAATTTTAACTTATCGCACATTTTTGTTTCAGAGCTGACACGAATGAAATCCTTGTCATTTTGTGTAATTATTAATGGTTTACAATGAACATTTTATAATTTAATTGTTTTCGATTATTAAGACATTATTTGAAAAATGGGCATATAATTACTTTTGAATTCAGATGGTTATGATCACTTAAATTAAATATTTGAACCTAATGAAATAAACCAATCACAATATATATAAATTTCAAATGGTTTACATTGAAATTTTTTAATAATTGTTTCATTTATTAAGACTTATTATTTCGATAAATTGGTGCATATAAGTATTTTGATTCAGTATGTTATGATTCACTTAATTAAAATATTATGAACTAATGAAATAAAATCCAATCTCAATTATATAAATTCATAAACTCCAAAGATTGTGACAAAAAATCAAAACTGAAGTTGAACAGCTAAGTGAAGTAGGTAAATCAAACATTGGGTTGCTGGGGGAAAACCCCCCCCCCCCCCCCCCCGCCCCCCCCACCAGCCCTTTCCCACACAGAAAGATAACATCAAAGCGGTTAAATTTTAGAGTAAAAAAGCGGGGGAGCGGGGGGGGGGCATGTTTTTACTTGACCTTTCACACACTGCTTATACAGCAAAATGCAACATTCGCTAATTATTTCTAGAATGAACGTATTTACAACATACCAAAACGAAGCAACTAAAGAGGCAGGTGGGTTCAAGAAGTTACTAGCCAAATTTTGAAATAAAAATCCCAAGTATTATTCCCTCGTTTTCACCAATATGTTTGGGATTACATTTTCCCAGTGAGAAACATGAAAGTATTCGAATGCTACTATTGTTCTGATCGCTTGGAGGCTGTTAATTTATTTTATTAAAAATATTTTTATAAACAACCTTTTGACTGTTCAATAGATTGTCAATTCCCAGCTGGCATGTCAATTCTTTAAACAGTCAAAACATCTTTTATAAAACAATTAATCATGCCAAAGTGTCCTATGGATCACAGACATTGGTTAACATTGCCGAAGGGCAGGAAAATGTATTTGTCTGTATCATTGTAATTGTTTGAATTTACAAGTTGACAAAGTTGGGGAAACATACATAAACGAATATTTTGTCAAAGTTAAAGTCAGGATAACAAAACAGAATGATAAATAGCTGAAAAATTAAAGTTGTAAATGTGGCACGATGACGGTCATTAACAATATAACTTGAACATCACATCAATACAAATTGCAAAAGCAGAAGAAAAAATTAACTCTGAGGTTTCAAATTATGAATGTGGTGTCTGTCTGAACATCCATATACTGTTGAGGAATATGATATACACAAAAACATAGAGTCCTCAATTCCAAAGCAGTCTGTTTTTACAACTCCGCCACACTAAACACTAAAGTAGTGGTGTACAAATTAGATTAATGAGAATTTCATTTGAGTCATAATAACACTTCTATTATAGAACATCTAAATAATCATCTACAAATTAATTGCATTATTATTTTTAATGAATGTTTCACACCATCAACAAAATTGCAACACAAACAAAAGTTTTTGTGCATCATAAGGCTTTGGAATTTCGATATAACCAATGGGTTGATAATGGGTTTCTTTAGAGTATAGTCACGTAGATAATTTATTTGTATTATGGTGTAAGGAATGAGGTAAGTTTAAAGGTGTCTCAACAAAGAAATATAGATAAGTATTGTAAACAAAGAGATGTGTCAACAAAGAAGTAGAATAACAGTTGTCCTATGATTTTAAGCACTTTCATTGAAATGAAAGATTGGTTCTGAATATGAAAAAAGTGTATGAGCTGGATGTTATCAAAAATTCTCAGTTATGTGCATTCACCTTCAATTCCAATGGATATTCGTAATTCTGAGTATTTCTCCTCTAACTTATCTTGTGTATAATATCACTTGAAATTACCCGAATGTTCTGTCGAGCCCAAGGTTCACATCTTGTTCCCAGATCGTACAACCTTCTTCAAACGAACAGCACTAATGTACAACTGTGTCCTTGCCGAAAGTCCATAACTTCATCACCCATTTGTGGATAGTAGGTGCTTTTCGAGGAAGATTCTGATGAGCCATTAGAGACGGTATACTTCTGGTACTTCACCAGTTTCACACAGCAGCTGCCACAGTAGGTACAATCTGCACAAACATTATTTTAATAAAATATTATTAACATATACCTCCAACTGCAGGTTTTCCATTGTTTTAAAGAACGTGCACAACACTGTTTTGTTTGTTTTTCTCATTGCATAAAATTAGGATGAAAAACCAGATTCTGTAGCATTCTTTTAGTATATTTAATTTGACGTAAAATTTCAGTACTCTTATCAATTAAAGATATAAAATT